TCTAGCTTGCAAATCAGCTTACAAATCATTTCCAAACATTAGGACCACTTAACGCTTTCATTTCCCCCCCTTTTTGATAAGCAAGAGCAGGGAGCATAAGAACATAAGAGAAGCCACATTGGATCAGGCCAATGGACCATCCAGGCCAACACACTTTGTGCCTCCCCCCAAATCGCCCCACACACTAGGTGCCATTGAGAGGTCCAGCAGTGGGGAATGTCTTTGCAGTCGCAGGATCCTGGGAAGGCTTACTCTTAAGTAAGTCATGGCAGGACAAGCTTTTCATTCTTGGCAGAGAGGGATGCTGACATATTGTGCCAGCGGGGGTGGGGGTGGGGTTAAATTGTATTTTTTCTCGCATACACTTTAATAATTTGTTCCCCACCATGGTGACCCTTGTGGCGGCAGAGAGGCAGGAGCTGCATTTTGTAAATGAATATAAATAAAAATTAAATTCTCAGCCACGGTGGTCGTAGGGAGGCCCAGAAAGGAGTCATTCACACCGATCGATCGCCCGGGGGTTCAGTGCCTCCCCCTGCTCCCCTTCATCCGGGCAGCCCCTCTCTGCCCTGAGCTGGAGGGACACCCCTTCTTCCACTCTGCTGGCTGCTCAGGCAGAGCTATTGCCAAACCCATCCCGCCTAGAAAGGAGATAGCTGCAGTTCTTGTACTGTGTTTTTATGGTTTTAGTGTGATGTTTTAATATTTTAAAGGTGGTATTGTTCATATTCTATGTTGTAACCCGCCCTGAGCCCACTTGTGGGGAGTGCGGGGGAGTGCGGGTTAGGGTTAGGGTTAATCAGTTGTTAAGCCATCATTTTGTCCTAGGTTCCAGTTTACACATCGAGACACAGCCCCCAGGACAGACTGACAACGAAATGCAGTCTTCCGAGGGCGAGATCCACAGAGGTTAAGCTGTTACCAGCCACTTTCTCCCAGGCTCCAGTTTACACACTGAGACTTTTATTTCTTGTATGGCAGAGTTTACACACAGGAAGCATAGAGCAATAAAAAAATATGTAACCAAGTAGATACAACAGTTATGCAGACAGATTGGGCAGTCCCCCAAAATACTAATATCTAATTTGGCTGATTCAGGTGCCATCTCATACGCATAGAACAAGGAGTTACTGTCTTGGCAGCTGGATTCCCAGGGACATGAAGTCCCCAGGTTTGATGTGATTTTACAGGATAAACGTAAAGGTGCTTCCTCACACAGAGGTCAGCTCATCATTACCAGATCCATTTGGCTTTCATTGGCTTGCCCCTGGAATCATGGAAGCCCTATTGCTTCCAAAACATTAGATCAGAAAGAAAATACAGTGCCTATCTGTACAGATTGCTACAAGGGCGCCGGAAAGGGCAGCTTTCGCCAGTCACAGAACTGCCAGCAATTCAGCTTGCTGGGCTGTTAACATCTCCTGTGGGAAATTTTTTCTTTTCCAGTAAAATCAATTCCTCTGTGTGAGTAAAGACACCCTTAATATACATTGAATATGCATGATTTGCCCCTAAGGCTTAGGTGCTGATGCCATCTGTATAAAGGACATTCTTAAACTGCCATAAGGGAAAGTCTCCCATTTCTTCAGGGAGATGGACTTTGGGAGTATACTGAAGGGGTGACAGGCAGGGTCATAAATGAAAGAAACACCTTCAGCACTTATTTGCCCTGCCCACTGGATCCAGAGAGAATGCAGTGCCCTGTTGCTTGATTCGGAGAGTGCTGAAGACGCGGGGATCGCAGTGTGAAAAAAATATGTGCTGTCCTGCCACATTATCTCTAAATTAAGTAAAACATCATTCACAGCAATGAAGGTCTGCTCTTCTCGAAGAATTCTGAGTTCAGAGTTTGTAAAAACATGGGATGCAAAGAGGAGTGGCTGCTTTTCTCCATAATGGTGGAGTTGGTGATGGGTTAACAGAGCCTTGAAATTCCCAGTGACTCTTTGCAAAAGGTGTAATGTATCTGGAGGGTATTGTGCCTTTCAGGTGGGGTTGATTGGACCTCTTAAGCCTTTGAAGTTCTGGCGAGCCACTGAAGTGGGTGGAGTTCCTTGTTTGCCGTGTTCCAGGGCAACAAAGTAGTTATGCATCAGGCCTGCTGAGCTTCATTTTCTGACTCACTTTTATGGGTTAGAACCGGTTCTGTTGCTCAGCTCTAAGCCCGGTTGCTAAAGCCTAGTTCTCAAGGTCAATCCAGTGACCACTTGAGAACCGCTTGCCCACTCCAGAGCCGCTGAGTTCGGGAGGGGTGTTGAAAGACCTGAGTCAGATTGAGGTGACGAGAGAGGAGGTCCTAAAACTGATAAACAACTTAAAAACTGATAAATCACCAGGCCCAGATGGCATACATCCAAGAGTTCTGAAAGAACTCAATTGTGAACTTGTGGATCTCCTGACAAAAATATGTAATCTCTCCTTAAAATCAGCCTCCATTCCTGAGGACTGGAAGGTAGCTAATGTCACTCCCATCTTTAAAAAGGGTTCCAGAGGAGATCCGGGAAATTACAGGCCTGTCAGTCTGACGTCGATACCGGGTAAATTGGTGGAAACCATTATTAAGGAAAGAATTAGTAGGCACATAGATGAACAAAACCTATTGAGGCAGACTCAACATGGGTTCTGTAAGGGAAGATCTTGTCTCACTAACCTGTTAATGTTCTTTGAGGGGGTGAACAAACATGTGGACAAGGGGGATCCAATAGATATTGTTTACCTTGACTTCCAGAAAGCTTTTGATAAAGTTCCTCATCAAAGGCTCCTAAGCAAGCTCAAAAATCATGGGATAAAAGGACAAGTCCTTTTATGGATCAAAAACTGGCTAATTAATAGAAAACAGAGAGTGAGTATAAATGGGCAGTTCTCCCAGTGGAGGGGTGTAAGCAGTGGGGTACCACAGGGATCAGTACTTGGTCCACTGCTTTTTAACTTGTTCATTAATGATTTGGAGTTGGGAGTAAGCAGTGAAGTGGCTAAATTTGCGGATGATACGAAGTTGTTCAGGGTGGTGAAAACCAGTGAGGATTGTGAGGCACTCCAAAGGGATCTGTCAAAGTTGGGCGAGTGGGCGTCAACATGGCAAATGGGGTTCAATGTGGCCAAGTGCAAGGTGATGCACATTGGAGCCAAAAATCCTAACTATAAATACACGTTGATGGGGTCTGAACTGGCAGAGACAGATCAAGAGAGAGATCTTGGAGTTGTAGTAGATAACTCACTGAAAATGTCGAGACAGTGTGTGACTGCAATAAAGAAGGCCAATGCTATGCTGGGGATTATTAGGAAGGGTATTGTAAACAGATCAGCCAATATCATAATGCCGCTATATAAATCAATGGTGCGACCTCATCTGGAATACTGTGTGCAATTCTGGTCACCACACCTTAAAAAGGATATTATAGCTTTGGAAAAAGTGCAGAAAAGAGCAACTCGAATGATAAAAGGGTTGGAACACTTTCCCTATGAGGAACGGTTAAGGCGCTTAGGGCTCTTTAGCTTGGAGAAACGACGACTGAGGGGTGACATGATTGAGGTTTATAAGATTATGCATGGGAAAGAGCAGGTAGAGAAAGAGGTACTTTTCTCCCTTTCTCACAATACAAGAACCCGTGGGCACTCCATGAAATTGCTGAGCGGTCGGGTTAGAACGGATAAAAGGAAGTACTTCTTCACCCAAAGAGTGATTAACACTTGGAATTCACTGCCACAGGAAGTGGTGGCAGCTACAAGCATGGACGGCTTCAAAAGGGAATTAGATAAGCATATGGAGCAGAGGTCCATCAGTGGCTATTAGCCACAAGGTATAGATAGGGACTCTGGGGCAAGTGATGCTCTGTCATCTTGGTGCTTGGGGGGGGTCAACAGTGGGAGGGCTTCTAATGTCCTGGCCCCACTGGTGGACCTCCTGATGGCACTGGTATTTCTGGCCACTGTGGGATACAGAGTGTTGGACTGGATGGGCCTTTGGCCTGATCCAACATTGGCATCTCTTATGTTCTTATGTTCTTATGACCCAGCAGCCTTGGTTCCACCACCTTGCTGCAGTCTCTCAGCACTTTTTTTCAGCACAACTGCTTTTCAGACAGAAGCAAGGCTTCCTATTGCCATCTCCATGGGGAATGCAAAATTGATCAGCAAGCATGCTTTTTGGAGGCTAGCCTGAGTAGTTTGCCTCTCCTTTTGGTTCCATGGTAGCCTTCAGAATCCTCAGGAACTGTTTGGAGCTTCAGTTTTTCGGTATCAATGATAAACCTGAACCTTTTCTCAACTGGGTTCAGATGGTCTCCAGAGTCATTCTGATGTGACACCATTTGTACTGACAGCACTTACCACATTAGGCTAGGATCTGGGAGCCCCAAGTTCAAACGCCATCCTGTGAGAAAACTTGCTTTGACCTTGGGCCCATTTCATTTTCTCCCCCTTATATTTATAAAGGATATCGTATGTTTCTACTAAAAACAGGTGCCCCATGGCAGAAAGTCTTTGACATGCTATGACAATTTCACACACTCTCAGGATTCTCATCGTCGTCTTTGCTGAACAGCCCTTTTCTTTTGTCTCCCCATGTTATCAATGAAAGAATGGCACAAATCACAGGTAGGTGGGGGAGCAATGTCATACTGTGTGGAAGGATAATCCTTCTGAAGTTGGCATTAGAAAATTTTACCAACTTTGGGGTCCAAATTACTCCCACCTTAAGGCTTTTGTATCTAAAATTCTGTCTATGTTTGGGACAAGCTTTGTCCGTGAATACCTCTTTTCTGCAATAAAAAAAGGTAAAGGTTCCCTTGCTCGAAAGCCAGTCGAATCCGACTCTAGGGTTGCGGTGCTCATCTCCGTTTCAAAGCCGAAAAGCCAGCGCTGTCCGAAGACGTTTCTGTGGTCATGTGGCCGGCATGACTAAGCACCAAGGCGCACGGAACGCTGTTACCTTCCCACCGAAGTGGTCCCTATTTATCTACTTGCAATGTCTTGCTTTCGAACTGCTAGGATGGCAGGACTTTTCTGCAATAAATGCCCATAAATCAAAAGTATGTTCTCAGCTTACAGATACACACCTGAACAGCATACTTAAAATTGCTGCAGCTCAGACACTGACTCCAGATTTCGATGCAATAATTCAGAGCAAGAGGGGTCAGTTATCAAAGAATGTTAAAGAAATGTTTTAAGCATGTTTGTATTTTTAGTAAAAAATTACATTGTTAATTAGGTTTCCCTGTGTCTTTTCTGAAGTTTATTATCTCTGGTACCAGGCATTACATTTTGTCACATCTGGCCCTCGTAACAAATGAGGTTGTCACCTCCGAACTAAGCAGTTACATGGTTTCTTTTTGTGTGGCTTCTTAGATGCTTTTGAAAACTGCCACACTGACGAAATCTCTTTTTACACTCTGGGCATTCAAAGGGCTTCTCTCCTGTGTGGATTCTTAGATGCTTTTGAAGACTGGAACTGCAACTGAATCTCTTCCCACACTCTGAGCATTCAAAAGGCTTCTCCCCTGTGTGGGTTCTTGCATGCAGTTGAAGAGCACCACTCTGACTGAATCTCTTCCCACACTCTGAGCATTCAAAAGGCTTCTCCCCTGTGTGGGTTCGTAGATGCTGCTGAAGATGAACACTCTGACTGAATCCCTTCCCACACTCTGAACATTCAAAAGGCTTCACTCCTGTGTGGATTCTAAGATGCTTTTGAAGACTGGAACTGCAATTGAATCTCTTCCCACACTCTGAGCATTCAAAAGGCTTCTCCCCTGTGTGGGTTCTTACATGTTTTTGAAGATCACCACTGTGACTGCATCGCTTCCCACACTCTGAGCATTCAAAACGCTTCTCTCCTGTGTGGGTTCTTACATGTTTTTGAAGATGGCCACTGCAATTGAATCTCTTCCCGCACTCTGTGCATTCAAAAGGCTTCTCCCCTGTGTGGGTTCTTAGATGCTTCTGAAGATGGCCACTGCAACTGAATCTCTTCCCACATTTTGAGCATTCAAAAGGCTTCTCCCCTGTGTGGGTTCTTAAATGTTTTTGAAGATGTCCACTCCGACTGAATCTCTTCCCACATTCTGAGCATTCAAAAGGCTTCTCCCCTGTGTGGGTTCTTGCATGCAGTTGAAGATGGACACTCTGACTGAATCCCTTCCCACACTCTGAGCATTCAAAAGGCTTCTCCCCAGTGTGGGTTCTTTGGTGAACAAGGAGCTGTGATCTGTATCTGAAGTACTTTCTGCACCAAAAGCATTTACGTGCATTTACTGTACTGTGCTTTGGAAAATGTATATTACCTTTTCCTCCTATAGAGAATGTCATTCCAGTCTCTGAGCAAATAAATAGCTTCTCTCCTGAGGAAATCTTTTGGTGTCGAACAAGGTCTGATTTCTCTACGAATCTCTTGCAGGTATAAGGTTTATCTCCTGTATGTGTTCTTTGATATCTAAGGAGTTCTGCTGTATGAATCATGGTCTTTTCAGACTCCAACCATTGATGGGTCTTCTTTCCACTGTGCATTCGTAAATGGACCAGTTCCTCATCTTCTTCATTCCTCTGATCATTTCCTGCTGGAATAAAAAAAAGAGATCCTGTTTTAACCCAGGCAAAGGGATCTGATCTGCAATCAAATTTCCATCTGCACTCTAAATATTTCAGTGGCTTCTTTCTGCTGTATAATGAAGTACACAATAATATACACTTTCAAAGTACATTAAGCCTCCTGCATGAGAGATGCTTGGTTTGGACTCCTCACTTGTGTGACTTTTAAAATAAGGGCTGTGTGAAGTAAGGGCTCTTTTCCAACTGAAGCGCTTTCTACCCTGCAAGCAATTATATTGTCTGAAAAATGATGCTCATTCTCTGACTGAAGGTTTTTGCAAGAGCCACACTTTCCTTTTTCCCTGGAGCGGATTTTCTAGTTAGGATGGAGGTTTTTGCTCCTTCTATTTTTGATTGACATTTTTTCTTGGTCTGGGATTTCATGGAAATCCCCTTTGTGGCAAGGACTGGGCTTATCCCTCCTCTTACCTGCATGGCTTCCCTCCTGCCTCTGTGGTCCATCTCCATAGTGTCCTTCAGCATCTTCATTCTTGGCTTTTTCCAAAGAGAACCCCTGGAATTCCCCAGCTGTCTCCTCTACATCTGCTGCCGGAATTAAGAGAGAGTCTCAATCAGCCCCCACGCAAGAAGCCAAGGGACTAATCAGGCACAGGCTCATGAAGGGGTGTGCAGTTCTTGTGTCAGGTCTTCTTTCCTCCCAAACTGAGATGCTGGTCACATCTTATCCCTGTAGAGCTGTTTTTTTATTCTGCCTCTCCCTCCTCTCCCCAGACTCCCCAGATGTAGTTCAAGGGAAAAGGTGGCAAAGGATCCTTCCCCCACCGTTCCCCTTTGACTTGCCATGCAGCTCTTTTGATTCTCTGAACCTGACCATTACATACAAGAAGCTATTAAGATATCTGCTCCTTCAACTGAACTGAGAGTTTCCTCCTAGTTGTGAAAAGAGCCAGTTTTCAGTCTCCCGAAAATACATATTTTCCAGATGAGGGGGAGAAGACAGGAGCTCACCAAGTGAACTCCACAGTTCAAAGTAGGACCGCCCCTCCCCCGTTCTTGAAAAAGGTGCCAGTTCTTAGGGGGGCAGGTAATGACCAATGAGAAAACCAACCCTGCAGTGTAGGGGACACCCCCTCTGGTTTTTGGAAAAAATGCCAGGGGGAAAGTAGTGACTAATAGGAAAACGAACCCTGCAGTGCAGGGCTACCTCTCTCAAGGTCAGAGCCATTTTCTTGCTATTTCTGAGCCAATTTCTTCACCTCAGCCAGGCCTCTCTATTGTCAAATATGTAGCCGTGTCTTAATCATCCAGGAATTTCTGCCTTTCCTAAAAGCACAGAGTCAGCCTGCCTCTCTGGAATGAAGGGTGTCTTATTGTCAGCAAGAGAGAGAACCAGAAGACTGGTCATCAGGCCCCAAGGTCATTAACTTGTTACAGAAGAGTAAGGCCCTTTGGAATCCCATCTCAGAGGAACACGCAGTGTCAAAATTTTCAGATAAGACCCCAGAAGAGTGTCTTATTCCATCCTCCCCAAACACCTGCAATACGCAGTAAACACACAGGAAGCGTGCAGATATGCACGTGTTCAGCATGACCAGGGTGACATAATGTAAGTGTGGGAAAGTTAAGTTTGGCAGACCCTTAGAGCGCAGCAAAGAGTTGTCATCACTGTCAACCATCTTCCCTGGGGACAGTTTCAGTGGGAATCTCTTCAATAACACATGGTTCTGTCCTCTTGCGGTGAGGACTGATTCCCCTGAACACCACAGAGGGTGCTGTGTGATTTGGCTGAAGCCACTTACCCCTGGGTTTCAGTGTTAATTGGTGGGACTACCCGCTATAGGCCACCCCTGCAAGGTAGTACAGCTCCAAGGAAAGCACTCAGACCCATCTCCACCTAAGAGTAAGGCCTGCAGGCATCCAGGGGACTGCTGTAGGAATGTTTTGATGTGCCTTTGGCCTCGTCCAGCAGGGCTGTTCTAAGGTAAAAAACCCCCCCCCATTTTTCTGGAATATCCAGTATTTAAGGACAGTACAGCCCCTCAAGAGCCACAGCTGAGCTCAGTCCCAGAAGGAGCTTCCACGCCTCCACATTCCAGGCCCCAGAAGGCCTCCCCCCCTCCTTACTCAGCAGGCTTGATCATTCTACCAAACCAAGAGTTGCTTAGAAGAGGAAAGTTCCCATGGGTATTCCTTGCCCGTTCCCTTGACATAACTGTGAAGGATACTCACTTGCAGCCAGTTCTTTTGGGAAGGAAATAGTCTCTTGAGATCCTCCTGAGAAACTCTCCAGCCATTCTTCAGACACAAGGCCTTTGTCTGTCTCCATCACAGTCTCTCTTACATTCCTGCCTTCTTTAGTGGGGGGGGGAGGAGGAAGGGGAAGAGAGAGAGAGATCATTCCTATGTGGGGAAGGAAAGAAGTCCAAGGAAGAGGAAAAATTCTCCTGGAAGGACGGAAACATGGTTGAGATGAATCCCAGAATCAGACCACTATATGGGGGATGGATCTTAAACAGATCACAGACAGAACCGAGGGTATAATCTCATTTCAAGGAAGGGCATGTTTATGAATGTGAGAAGACTATCTTCTGGCTAAAATCTATCTTAAAAACTATACATCTTACTGCTTTGTAGTATCCTCAGATGGTTTTCCTTGGGTGCCTCTTACCCATCCATCCAACAAATCATCTAGGTCCTTCCACTTGGACAGCGTGGCCTGCAGTAGTATCCAAGCACCCAGAGAAACAGCTGTCCATCATCTTAAACAAGCTTCCAGTCAATAAGAAAATCTGCTGTGTATTTTTCTTTTCTTCCTTTCCTAATACTCCCAACCCAGTCAAGGGCTAAAAAGCTAATTAACACCTGATGCATGGGAGATCAGGAAAAGAAGAAAAAAAACTTACAGATCCATTTTCCAAGGCCACCCTCCAACTGGCTCATTGTTATACTGGACTCGACATTATTGCTGGAGAAGCAAAAAAGGCTTTCTCCCAGCTCAGCCTAGCTTGAAAAATGGCCCCTTCCCTTGATATAGCTGATCTGGCCGCCAGGACCCATGCCATGGTGACATCCAGAGACTAGACTACAGCAATGCACTGTACACTGGTCTCCCCACTAAACCAACTCAGAAACTCCAGCTGGTGCAGAACACCAGGACTCCAGATGGAGCAGGCATATTACTACCCTTCTGCGGTCCCTCCACTGGCTGGCCTGGCCTTCTCGGTAAGGGCCCCCAGGAATGGTCTGCCTCAGGGGGTTGGGAAGGCACCCACACTCCTGGCTTTCCACAAACTAGGCAACATTGAATTGTTCAAGAGGGCTTTTCTAAACAAGCAACATTGAATTGTTCAAGAGGGCTTTTCTAAGCAAGCAACAGGGTAAAGGTAAAGGTAAAGGTTCCCTTGCTCGAAAGCCAGTCGAGTCCGACTCTAGGGTTGCGGTGCTCATCTCCGTTTCAAAGCCGAAGAGCCAGCGCTGTCCGAAGACGTTTCCGTGGTCATGTGGCTAGCATGACTAAACACCAAGGCACATGGAACGCTTTTACCTTCCCACCGAAGTGGTACCTATTTATCTACTTGCAATTTCTTGCTTTCGAACTGCTAGGTTGGCAGGAGCTGGAACTAGAGACGGGAGCTCACTCCGTCATGCGGCAACTCGGGTCTTGAACAGCTGAACTACTGACCTTCCAACAGCCTGCAGTTCAGCGTCTTAACCACTTAAGCCACCGCAGCTCTCTAAGCAACAGGGTAGCACTGGACAAAAGGCTTCACAAAGTTTCTTGGATAAGTCATTATGTGGTCTAAGTTACTGTGTTTAGTTTGCTGTAAGTTGGATCCTACAAGGCCATTTTGCAGCATTTCATGGGTCATGTAAACATTTCTGCTTTCCTTCAACACTGTTTTTCAGATTTCAGGTCCGTCCTGGTCTGGAACCCAAACTCTGTTCCATAGTTTACTGAGTGTATTGAGTCCCACTAAATGGCGGACTATAATTAATGTAAATACGTAAAATAACGTAAACAATCCCCTCCCCTTCCTTGGAAACTGCAGATGGGGAGAGCACTGATCAAAAACCGCGGTATTTGGACCGCCACTCGTCATGAAGCATTCCGATCCTGTGATCATATCCGGCCTTTCTGCCTAGGCCTCCCTCTTACCTCCCTGGCTAAAAATGTATTTCGATTTATAAAATTCAGATCCCCCATTTCAGCCCCTGCCAGGGGCAACGCGTGGGCGACGAACAAATGAAACATGCTTCAGAAAATTGTTTTAAAACGATCTAACCCCTCCCGAAGGATGAGATAGTTAGGCAGTGTCATAGATGCAATGAGCATGAAATTGAGCCAACTTCAGAGGACGGCGGAAGACAGGAAGGCCTAGCGTGATCTGGTCCATGGGGTCGCGAAGAGTCGGACTCGACTGTGCGACTGAACAACAACCAACCCCTCCCGAAGACAGACTATAGCAGAATGTCTGTCTTCCAACACTGAAATGACTTACTTGGACTAAACATTCCCAAGGATCCGCTTCAAGGCGCCTCTCTGTTGCATTCCCGAAGCCCTCCCCGTTCTCTTTCCCTATTCAGAAACAAAGCCCGCCTCCCCGCCCCGTTCGGCCTCTCTAGCAAACCGCTCAGATGTTTTAACCCTTTCAGAGCTGTAGAGGAAGGAAAGGGCCTTCCTTGTCTTCCCAACAGAGAGCAGCACCCAGACCTCGCTGGGCGGGACTTGAGTCCAGCTGCCCTTATGCAGCTCACTGGGGTTGCTTTGGAGTAATTCCGCACTGAGTTGCACTCCCGGAGAATCCCAGGCTGTGCAGGCATCTGTTGGGTGGTGGTGGTGTTAAATTAGAAGAAGAAGAAAAAAGAAGCAAACTGAAGCCAGCTCAGGCTGAGCAATCCGAAGCAGGTCTGATCAGCAATCTCTTCGGTGGGGCTTGCTCACTCCCAGCAAAGTGGCTTTCGGATTGCATTGGAAACCAGCGTTCTTGTAATAAACCTTCCCTGTTTCTCAAAACATGGGTGTTTTCAGGCCGAGGGGGTCTAAGGAAAGCCCCCCCTTCGGGATGTACTAAAAGGAAGGACAGGATTGGTCACTGGAAACAATGGGAGAGACTTGAAGGCCCATTGGAAATAATGGGAGCCAGGAATGCAATTGACTTGCATGGGCTTCCATTGAAATATATTGCAGTACAAGTGGAGTTGCAATAAAAATGCGGAATGGATTTTCCATCAGGTCTCTGGTCGCATATACACTACACTGGGACTGGAATGACAGCCCCTGGGAGTAGCATGAGTGTTCTGGGACTGGATGGAATGAGAGGCTCTAGAGTGGAAGGACAGCCTGTGGGGGTAGCAGCAGTGTTCTGGGAGTGGAATGACAGCCCCTGGGGGTAGCAGGAGTGTTCTGGAATTGGAATTACATGCCCCACAGTGGAATTACAGGCCCCACAGGCCCCTGGGAACAGCCCTTGTATAAAAGTGAAGATTCCATCATAGGGTTTTGTGAGTGGGTGAATTCCTTAGATGACCATATTAAATATACCAGTTTGGTGTAGTGGTTAACTGTGCGGACTCTAATCTGGGAGAACCAGGTTTGATTCCCCACTCCTCCACTTGCACCTGCTGATGTGACCTTGGGTCAGTCACAAGCTCTGGCACAGCTGTCCTTGTGGCAGAGTTCTCTCAGCCCCACCCACCTCACAGGGTGTCTGTTGTGGGGAGGGGAAGGGAAAGGAGTTTGTAAACCGCTCTGAGACTCCAAGTGAAGGGCGGGGTATAAATCCTATCTCTTCTTCTTCTTCTATACTTGGCAGTTCAGCTTGCAGTAAATTAATTTTCTTGACACTGTTGTTTATAAATCTGACAACCATACACTGGTGGTGAAACCTTATAAAAAGCCATCTGACAAAAATACCTACTTACATATTAGTTCTTTTCATGCCACTCATTTGCGGCACGATATCACTTATGGCTAGTTTTTATGTGTCAAAAGGAACTGTACTAGTCAAACAGAATATGAACTGGAAAGCAATGAACTATGCAGGTAATTCACAGAATATGAACTGGAAAGCAATGAACTATGCAGGTAATTCACCGCCAGAGGCTACCCTAGACACATTGTAGAAAAAGCTAGGTCTCGGGCCGCTTTATTACTGAGAAATAGTTTATATAACAAGGACAATAAAGCAGTAGATAAGGGCATACATTGGGCCATGGACTATATGTCTTTATCTATATCTATTAAAAAAGCGGTCTTCAGTTTATGGAAGCTGGTAGATGATATTCCTGGATGCGCTTCACCTCCCACTATTGGCTATCATAAAACAAAGAGCATCAAAGACTATGTGGTAGGTTTGGATTTGAGGAAATCTAGGTCCCCCACTGGTCTACCCCCTGGGCACCACTGCTGTGGCCATTGCAAAATTTGCCATATGGCCATTGAAGGGGAGACCATTATGAATCCAGGACATTTTCCACATGCACAACCTCCAATTTAATTTATGTAATTTTATGTCCATGTCCACGTGTGTATGTGGAAAAAACTGTGTCATATCAAAGTTCGGGTGCTTGAACGCATTTTCCGCATTAGGCATAATAATTTAGATGCTGCTTTAACTGAACATTTTATTCAAAACAATCATGCTTGTGATGATTTTCATTATTCAGTTTTATTTGTTGCTAATACTACTGTTCACCTCCCACTATTGGCTATCATAAAACAAAGAGCATCAAAGACTATGTGGTAGGTTTGGATTTGAGGAAATCTAGGTCCCCCACTGGTCTACCCCCTGGGCACCACTGCTGTGGCCATTGCAAAATTTGCCATATGGCCATTGAAGGGGAGACCATTATGAATCCAGGACATTTTCCACATGCACAACCTCCAATTTAATTTATGTAATTTTATGTCCATGTCCACGTGTGTATGTGGAAAAAACTGTGTCATATCAAAGTTCGGGTGCTTGAACGCATTTTCCGCATTAGGCATAATAATTTAGATGCTGCTTTAACTGAACATTTTATTCAAAACAATCATGCTTGTGATGATTTTCATTATTCAGTTTTATTTGTTGCTAATACTACTGTTAACATAAAGAAGGTGTTGCTGCAAGAAGAGGCTAGATGGATATACCATTTGAATTCACTACTACCTCATGGGTTAAACTCGGAACTAGATCTTAGTTGTTTTCTGTAATCATAACTGTACTATGTTAGTTGTAAGTTAGAACTTTGGCATAGAATGTAAATCTCCTCACATCTGGTATGGTTCCCACAGAGTAGTTTTTTAAAAAAATAACACTGTCACTTTAAACATTTTTATAATGTTCAGCCACGGCTGCTAAGGCTTGACACTGAGTATTTACTTTTAAGAAACAAAAGAAACTGTTGGTCTAATGTGTGAAGGAAATAATGTAGATGGTATTTTACAGTTGAGTTTTTATAAATAGAAAAAAACACACATGGATATATTAGCACTTTAACTGCTGTTTGTATAGGCAGACCGTGGCTGGTAGCAATTAGCAGTGGAGACTTTGGCTTCTAGAATCCAGCTAATACATTGTGAAGACCTTGGGTTCTGTTTTTAGAGAGTCAACATGGGATGTTTCCTTCAAGAAATGTGACAGTTTTGAGTGTAATGGTTCATTATGAATTTTTAAAGCTACACTTATAATTGAATGTGTATTTTCTTCTTTCTAGAACGTAAGAACATAAGAGACGCCAATGTTGGATCAGGCCAAAGGCCCATCCAGTCCAACACTCTGTGTCACACAGTGGCCAAAAATACCAGGTGCCATCAGGAGGTCCACCAGTGGGGCCAGGACATTAGAAGCCCTCCCACTGTTCTAATTATAAGAATTGTGATTGCTACACGCTCAGATAAAGCAATTCTTGTGAAACGGGTTTATATTGTACAGTATCCATTGTGTGAGAGCGATAATAGAACAGAGTTTTCTACAGAATTACTACAGTAAATGATTTTTGTAAATGGACAGTAAATGATTACTGTACAATAAATGATTATTTGTACAGTAAATGATTATTGACTCTTCATTGTTTTTGTCACGGATGTTGTGGTTGGATTTCTACCTCCTCCCATGATCTCTCATTTTTGGGACAGATATTAGGCTGAATGGCCTGTAACTTCCAGGTTTTTCTCTGGGCTGCTTTTTAAAAATTGGTGTAATATTTACTACTCTCCAATGTTCTGGTACAGTGGTTGAATTTAAGATAGTTGATTTAATTACCCTTATATGTAATCTATCTCACCTTTGAGGTCCCGAAGGAACTCTTGGGTATATACAACCAGGACCTGGAGATTTATGTTTTTAATGTCCCCCAATAGCTTTAGACCTTCATCTCTCATCACCTCAATTTGGCTCATTCCTTCAGACTCCCTTCATGAAAACACTGGCTATGGCCCCACACTTCGCACAGTGAACTTCAGAAGCCAAAAATTAAATGAACTTCTCTGGCCTCTTCCTATCTTCCTTTAGCAATCCCTGTATTCCTTGGCCATCCAAAGGCCCAGCCCTGGCTAGTTCCCTGCTCCAGATACATATTTACAACCTGCTCCTCAGAATCTCTTTTTGCATGTCTGATTAGAGACTTGTGTTTCTTTTACCAGAGACTATGGTTCCTTCAGCTCAATTCATTTGGGCAGACCTTCTACTTTTTAAAGAAACCTCTTTACATTTTATAGCTTCTTTGACTTACCTTGTTAACCATGCAGGCATTCTTTTAGACTTGGCAGTGCCTATTCTAAACTGTGGAATGCATTCTATCTGGGCTTCACTTAGTGTGCTTTTAAATAGCTTCCAAGCATCCTTTAGGGACCTGACCCTCTGGTGTTTTCCTTTCAGCTTCCTTTTAAGCATTCCCCTAATTTTTGAAAAGTCCCCTTTTGAAATGAAATGTTACTGTTTGGGACTTTAGGGGTAACTGTCCATTGACATGAATGCTGAACTTAATAGCATTGTCATCATTGTTCCCAATCAGTGCAACACCTCTACATCTCTCACCAGGTCTTGAAACCCACTCATAACCAAGTCCAAGATCATTAACCCTCTGGTTAGCTAGAAGAATGACCAAGTATGACTGAGTGGAGCCATACTTTTTCTAAGCCTTTCAAAGTAAACTTTCCTTTGGACTGTTCTGTTAAAGAAGGATGACAGAGATGTGGGATGGGAACACTTTCCAGTACTTTCTTTTTCTGCGATAGCATTTCCATTTCTAAAGATTTCTTGTTTCCTAAAATTAACAGTGAAGGGATGCCATTGCCAATACAATATTAGGTCAGCGTCGCAGTTTCCATACTATAATGAGTATTGTTCAGGTAAGATGTTGGCTGCCATTTTGGGGTTGCGAAGACATTTGTGCCTTAGTTACCAAATATTCACTGTTTCTGGACAACTTCTTTTCTAAGCATTGGGGGAACACTTCCTGACTTTACTGGGCTAATTTTTCACTATTTATTGTTTTCTGCCTAGCTTTCCATTGGCTGACAGTGCATCTCAGCATGAACTGAATGCCTTGCCAGCCCACTGAGCAACCACAGGGAGGCTTTATACCCCTGGAACTGGCAGTTAAAATGCACCTGTAATCTCTTCCTTAGTTTGGAAAAATAGTCATTAAATAGTTCTTTTATTTCCTTCTGTGCAACAAAGCTAGCGGAGATGACGGTATCCCAGCTGAGCTATTCAAAGTCCTAAAAGATGATGCTGTTAAGGTGCTGCACTCCATAGGCCAGCAAATTTGGAAAACACAACAGTGGCCACAGGACTCGAAAAGGTCAGTTTACATTCCAATCCCAAAGAAGGGCAATGCCTAGGAATGTTCAAGCTACCATACAATTGTACTCATTTCGCACATTAGCAAGGTCATGTTGAAGACCCTTCAGCAGTAAAGGGATAGAGAACTGCCAGAAGTACAAGCTGGGTTTCAAAGAGGTAGAGGAACTAGAGATCAAATTGCCAACATTCGCTGGATTATGGAGAAAGCAAGGGAGTACCAGAAACACATCTACTTCTGCTTCATTGACTATGCTAAAGCCTCTGAATGTGTGGCAAGTCCTTAAAGAGATGAGAGTACCACACCACCTCACATGTCTCCTGAGAAACCTGTATAAGGGTCAAGAAGTGACAGTTAAAACAGGACATGGAACAACTGATTGGTTTAGCATAGGAAAAGGAGTACGACAAGGATATATATTGTCACCCTGTTTATTTAATTTATATGCAAAGTACATCATGTGAAATGCCAGCCTGAATGAATCACAAGCTGGAATAAGATTTCCGGGAAAAACATCAACAACCTCAGATATACAGATGATTACCACTCTAATGACAGAAAGTGAAGAGGACCTAAAGAGCCTCTTGCTAAAGATGAAAGAAGAGAGCACAAAAGTTGGCTTGAAACTCAACATCAAAACAACTAAGATCATGGCATCTGGCCCCATCAATCCTTGGCAAATAGAAGGGGAAGTCATAGAAGCAGTGATAGACTTCTCATTTCTGGGATCCAAGATCACTGCAGACAATGACTGTAGCCATGAAATTAAAAGACACCTGCTCCTTGGGAGGAAAGTGATGGCAAACCTAGACAGCATAATAAAAAGTAGAGACATCAGCCTGCCAACAAAATTCCGTATAGTCAAAGTGATGGTATTCTCAGTAGTAATGTATGGCTGCGAGAGCTGGACCATAAGGAAGGCCGAGCACCGAAGAATACATTATTTTGAATTATGATGCTGGAGAAAACTCTTGAGAGTCCCCTGGACTGCAAGGAGATCAAATCAGTCAATCCTAAAAGAAATCAACCCTGACTGTTCCCTGGAAGGACTGATACTGAAGCTGAAATACTTTGGCCACCAAATGAGAAGGGAGCACTCACTGGAGAAGATCCTGATGCTGGGAAAGATTGAAGGTAAAAGAAGAAGGGGACAGCAAAGGATGAGATGGTTTGACAGTGTCACAGATGCAACAAACATGAAGTTGAGCACATTCCGGGGGACAGCCAAGGAGAGGAGGGCCTGGCGTGATGTGGTCCATAGGGTTGCAAAGAGTCAGACTCGACTGTGCAACTGAACAACAAAAAGCACAGCAGCTAGTAAAGGGTTCAGAAGCAGACAGCACTGTAGTTCCTACAGAGGTTACAAATGGAGGAGAGCCTTCAGAACCATCAGGAATTGTTTGGAGCTTCTATTTTTCAGTATCAGAGATATACCTGAAACTTTTTTCAACTGGGTGCAGACTGTCACTGGAGTCATTCTTATGTGACACCATTTGTACTGACAGCACTTAACACATTAGGCTAGGGTCTGGGAGCCCCGAGTTCAAATGCCATTCTGCCGGAAAGCTTCCTTATGACCTTTGGCCCATTTCATTCTCTCAGGCTTATAAAATGTCATAAGCCACTCTGAGTTCCTGTTGGGGAGTTAGATGGTGTACAGATAAACCCCATACCCATCATTTTAAAGTGAATCTTACCTTTCTACTTAAAACAGGTGCCCCATGGGACAAAGTCTTTGATGTGCTATGACAATTTCACCCACCCTCAGGATTCTCTTCATTGTGGTCTTTGCTAAACAGCCCTTTTGTTTAATCTCCCCACCTATCAAAGGATGCCACAAACAGTAAGTAGGTGGGGTGCAATGTGATGCTGTGTTGAAGGACAAGCCTTCTTTATGAGAGCCAGTTTGGTGTAGTGGTTAAGTGTGCAGACTCTAATCTGGGAGAACCGGGTTTGATTCCCCACTCCTCCACTTGCACCTGCTGATGTGACCTTGGGTCAGTCACAAGCTCTGGCACAGCTGTTCCTGAAATAGCAGTTTGTGTCAGAGTTCTCTCAGCCCCACCCACCTCACAGGGTGTCTGTTGTGGGGAGGGGAAGGGAAAGGAGTTTGTAAGCCGCTCTGAGACTCCAAGTGAAGGGCGGGGTATAAAGCCAATCTCTTCTTCTTCTTTAGTTGGCAGTAGGAAATTCTCCCCATATTGAGATCCAAATTACCCTCATCTTAAGGCTTTTGTTTCTAAAATTCTGTCTATGTTTGGGACAATGTATATCTGTGAACAGTTCTTTGCTGTGATAAATGCCCATAAATCAAAAGTACGTTCTCAACTTACAGATTCATACCTAGACAGCATACTTAAAATTGCTGCAGCTCAGAGACTGACTCCAAATTTTGATGCAATAATTCAGAGCAAGAGGAGTCAGTTATCAAAGACTTAAAAATATGTTTTAAGCATGTTTGTATTTTGAGTAAAAAATTACATTGTTAATTGGGTTTCCCTGTATCTTTTCTGAAGTTTATTATCTCTGGTACCAGGCATTACATTTTATGTCACATCTGGCCTTTATAAAAAAAAAGTTCAACACCTCCGGGCTAAGAAGTTACAGGGTTTCTCTTTGTGTGGATTCTTAGATGCTTTTGAAGAGTGCCACACTAACGGAATCTCTTTTTACACTCTGGCATTCAAAAGGGTTCTCCCCTGTGTGGGTTCTTAGATGATTTTGAAGGTTGGAAAGGGAACTGAATTTTTCCCCACACTCTAAGCATTCAAAAGGATTCTCCCCTGTGTGAATTCTTAAGATGATTTCGAAGAGCACCACTGAATCCATTCCCACACTTGGAGCATACAAAAGGCTTCTCCCTGGTGTGTTCTTAGAAGTTTTTGAAGATTGCCACTGTAACTGAATCTCTTCCCACACTCTGACATTCAAAAGGCTTCTCTCCTGTGTGGATTTTTAGAAGATTTTGAAGACCATCTCTCCAACTGAATCTCTTCTCTCATCCGGAGCATTCAAAAGGCTTCTCCCCTGTATGAGTTCTTAGATGCTGTTGAAGAATGTCACTCCGACGGAATCTCTTCCCACACTGTAAGCATTCAAATGGCCTCTCCCCACTGTGTGTTCTTCGGTGCTGTTGAAGATTGCCACTGCAACTGAATCTCTTCCCACACTCTGAGCATTCAAAAGGCTTCTCCCCTGTATGGGTTCTTAGATGCTGTTGAAGAGTGCCACTGCAACTGAATCTCTTCCCACACTCTGAGCATTCAAAAGGCTTTTCTCCTGTATGGGTTCTTAGATGCTGTTGAAGATTGCCACTGCGACTGAATCTCTTTCCACACTCCGAGCATTCAAAAGGCCTCTCCCCTGTGTGGGTTCTTAGATGCTGTTCAAGATGGCCACTGCAAGTAAATCTCTTCCCACACTGTGAGCACTCAAAAGGCTTCTCTCCTGTGTGGGTTCTTAGATGTTTTTGAAGATTGCCATTGTGACTGAATCCCTTTCCACACTCTGAGCATTCAAAAGGCTTCTCCCCTGTGTGGGTTCTTAGATGTTTTTGAAGATCGCTGCAGTGACTGAATCCCTTCCCACACTCTGAGCATTCAAAAGGCTTCTCCCCTGTGTGGGTTCTTAGATGCTGTTGAAGAGTGCCAATGCAACTGAAACTCTTTCCACACTCTGAGCATTCAAAAGGCTTCTCACCTGTATGGGTTCTTAGATGCTGTTGAAGAGTGCCAATGCAACTGAATTTCTTTCCACACTCTGAGCATTCAAAAGGCTTCTCCCCTGTGTGGGTTCTTAGATGCTGTTGAAGATGGCCACTCTGACTAAATCTCTTCCCACACTCTGAGCATTCAAAAGGCCTCTCCCCTGTGTGGGTTCTTAGATGCTTTTGAAGGTGGCCACTGCGACTGAATCTCTTCCCACACTCAGAGCATTCAAAAGGCTTCTCCCCTGTGTGGGTTCTTAGATGCTGTTGAAGATGGCCACTGCAACTGAATCTCTTCCCACACTCTGAGCACTCAAAGGGCTTCTCCCCTGTGTGGGTTCTTAGATGTTTTTTAAGATCGCCACTGTAACTGAATCTCTTCCCACACTCTGAGCATTCAAAAGGCTTCTCCCCTGTGTGGGTTCTTAGATGCTGTTGAAGATGACCACTGCAACTGAATATCTTTCCACACTCCGAGCATTCAAAAGGCTTCTCCCTTCTGTGGATTTTTTGGTGCACAAGGAGCTGTGATCTGTAGCTGAAGTACTTTCTGCACCAAAAGCATTTATGCACATTTACTATACTGTGCTTTGGAAAATGTATATTACTTTTTTCTCCTTCAGAGAACACCATGCCAGTCTCTGAGCAAATAAATAGTTTCTCTCCTGAGGAAATCTTTTGGTGGTGAACAAGGTCTGATTTCTCTGAGAATCTCTTGCAGCTATAAGGTTTCTCTCCTGTATCTGATCTTTGATATCTAAGGAGTTCTGCTGTGCTAATCGTGGTCTTTCCAGACTCCAGCCACTGATGGGTCTTCTTTCCACCATGCATTCGTAAATGGATTTTATACTGGGATTGATCTGAGAAGTTCATTCCACACACCAAGCACTGGCATGTTTCCTTTACCATGTGAGTTACTTCTTGGAAATCCCACCCTTGGCAAGGAATGAATTTACCCCTCTTCTTGACCATGTGGTTTTTTGTCTCCCTTTTAGGCCCTACTTGATTTCTGAAGTTTCCTCTCAAGTCTTCATTCTTGAGTTCACTTGGTGATTGAGGATGTAGCTCCTCATCCTCCTCATTCCTCTGAGCATCACCTGCTGGAATAGAGAAAGAGATCCTGTTAGAACCCATGCAAAGGAGTCTGATCTGCAACCGAATTTCCATCTGCACTCTAAATATTTCAGTACTTCTTCCTGCTATACACTGAAGTGTACAATAATATACACTTTCAAAGTACATTAAGCCTCCTGCACAAGAGATGCGTGATTTGGACTCTGACCATTTATGTGGCTCATCACCTGTATGACTTTTTTGATATGTAGTAAGGGCTCTTTTCCGACTGAAGTGCTTTCTGCACTGCAAGCAATTATACGGTTTCACTCCTAAGGGAATTTGTGTCTGCAAAATGACATTCATTCTCTGGCGGAAGGTCTTGACAAAAGCCATACTTTCCTTCTCCCAGGAGTGGATTCTCTGGTTAGGATGTAGGTCTTTGGCCTTTCTCTTTTTGATTGACATTTTTTCTTGGTCTGGGATTTCATGGAAATCCCCTTCGTGGCAAGGACTGGGCTTATCCCTCCTCTTACCTGCGTGGCCTCCCTTCGGCCTCTGTGGTCCGTCTGCACAGTGTCCTTCGGCATCTTCATTCTTGGCTTTTTCCAAAGAGAACCCCTGGAATTCCCCAACTGTCTCCTCTACACCTGTTGCTGGAATCAAGAAAGAGTTTCTATCAGCCCCCACGCAAGAAGCCAAGGCACCAGTCAGGCATAGGCTCATGAAGGGGTGTGCATTTTTTGTGTCAGATCTTGTTTCCTCCCAGACTGAGACACTGGTCACATCTTATCCCTGTCAGGCCTTCCTGTTGAGCTGTTTTTATATTCTGCCTCTCTCTCCTCTCCCCAGACTCCCCATATATCGTTCAAGGGAAAAGGTGGCAAAGGATCCTTCCCCCACTGTTCCCATTTGGTTTGTCCTGCAGCTCTTTTGATTATCTGCATTGACCATTAAATACAAGAAGTTATTAAGATATCCAAGAAGTTATTAAGATGTCCAGTCTTTCAACTGCACTGAGTTTCCTTACAGTTGTGAACAGAGCCAGTTTTCAGCCTCCCCAAAATATATGTTTTCCGGATGAGGGGGGAAAGCCAGCAGCACTCCACAGTTCAAAGTGGACCCCCCCGGTTTTGGAAAAGGTGCCAGTTCTTAGGGGGGGTCAGGTATTGACCAATGAAAAAACCAACCTTGCAGTGTAGGGCTACCTTTCTCAAGGTCAGAGTCATTTTCTTGCTATTTCTGAGCCAATATCGGCACCTCAACCAGGCCTACCTATTGTCAAAGGGGTGTGCAGTTCTTGTGTCAGATCTTCTTTCCTCCCAGACTGAGACTCTGGTCACATCTGATCCCTGTCAGGCCTCCCCACAGAGCTGTTTTTTTATTCTGCCTCCTCTCCCCAGACTCCCCATATGTAGTTCAAGGGAAAAGGTGGCAAAGGATTCTTCCCCCACTGTTCCCATTTGACTTGTTGTGCAGCTGTTTTGAGTCTCTGCACTTGATGATTAAATACAAGAAGTTATTAAGATGTCCGCTCCTTCAACTGCACTGAGAGTTTTCTTCCAGTAGTGAACAGTCAGGAGGAGGTGGTTTCCAGGCTCCCCAAAACACATGTTTTCTGGGGGAGGGAGGAGGAGCCAGGGGCTCACCAAGTGAACCCCACAGTTCAAAGGGGACGCCCCCTCTGGTTTTTGGAAAAAATGCCAGTTCTTAAGGGGAAAGTAGTGACTAATAAGAAAACGAACCCTGCAGTGCAGGGCTACCTCTCTCAAGGTCAGAGGCATTTTCTTGCTATTTCTGAGCCGATCTCTGCATCTCAGCCAGGCCTGTCTATTGTCTAATGTGCAGCCATGTCTGGATCATCCAGGCATTTCTGCCTTTCCTAACAGCACAGAGTCAGCCTGTCTCTCTGGAAAGAAGGGTGTCTTATTGTCAGCAAGAGAGAGCCAGAAGACTCGTCATCGGGCCTCAAGGGCATTAACTTTTTACAGCACAGTAAGGCCTTCTGGAAGCCCATCCCACAGTAACACGCAGTGTCAAAAAGTCCAGATGAGGCCCCAGAAGAGTGTCCTATTCCATCCTCCCCAAACACCTGCAATACGCAGGGAACACACAGGAAGTGTGCATATATGCACGTCTTCAGCATGACCAGGGTGATGTAATATAAGTGCTGGAAAGTTAGTTTGGCAGAACCTTAGAGCAGAAGAGAGTTGTCATCGTTGTCAGCCCGCTTCCCTGAGGACAAAAGGAGATGGGGCCGGCCGGCGCTGGAGAAACCCAGGCACTGCAGTGCACTGACTGGGCAGGTATACCTGGCTTTTCTCTCTCTGTGTGTGTGTGTTTCTGTGGCAGACACTTTCCTGCCTCAAGAGGCTGGAAGGGACTTCTCCGTTGGGAAGGAGTTGGTCGCTTGACTCTTGAGATGGAAGGTGGCTACAGTGCTTTCTCTATTGTCTTGTGGCTCAAACAAATGTGTTTCAACTGAGAACCTGATTCTGTGTTTATTGGGCTGACAGTTTCAGTGGGAATCTCTTCAATAACACATGATTCCACCTTCTTGAGGTGTGTACTGATTCCCCTCAACACCACAGAGGGTGCTGTGTGATTTGGCTGAAGCCGCTTACCCCCGGGTTTCAGTGTTAACTGGTGGGACTACCCGCTACAGGCCACCCCTGCAAGGTAATACAGCTCCAAAGAAAGCACTCAGACCCATCTCCACCTAACTGAAAGGCCTGAAAGCATCCAGGGGACTCTTGTCCAGCAGGACTGTCGTTAAGTACACACACACACAAACCCCGGTTTTCGTGGAATATCCAGTATTTAAGGACAGTGCAGCCACTTAAGAGTCACAGCTGAGCTCAGTCCCAGAAGGAGGTTCTGAGCCTCCAGATTACAGGCCCCAGAAGGCCTCCCCCCCTCCTTACTCAGCAGGCTTGATCATTCTACCAAACCAAGAGTTGCTTAGAAGAGGAAAGTCCCCATGGGTATTCCTTGCCCGTTCCCTTGACATAACTGTGAAGGATACTCACTTGCAGCCAGCTCTTTTGGGAAGGAAATAGTCTCTTGAGAT